AAATTTTCCTCTGATCCTGAGTTACTGTATCAAATAAACTAACTAAGTACATAGTTATAATGAGCAAGAGTGCCTCTTCCAAATATGTTAATTTCATGGCCCCTATGTCAGGGGTTTAGCTATTTGGTGTAAGGAGAGGGAGGCTCTACATTACATAAATTCTTTGGAAATCTTTTCCTTTGCTCCTGGGTATTATGCCAATGATCTAAGTATATATATATATTTATGATGAGGAAAGGTGTATCTAGCAAAATGGTTAATTTCATGCCCCCCTGGGTCAGGGGTATCGGGGGGGGGGGGGGGGGGGGGGGGAACATAGTCTGAAAATAAATGAATGCTTTGAAATTTTCTCATTAGTATCAATCAACCATATTTGATGAAATAACATTTATGATGATAAAATTTTGAAATATGTGGCCCCAGGGTCTATGGTTTCTGTGGGATGGGGTGCACAATTGCATGGTTTAGAATGGAAGTGCATTTTTCTCTTACTTACTCTGATCTACTTATGGGTGTTAAGTGACTATCTAGTAAGCATTGCTAAGTGTATAATTATGATTAGCAGTAGTGCCTCTTTGCAAAATTGTGAATTTCATGGCCTCTGGTTTAAAACACAAACTAAATTCAATTGTTGGAAAGTTGTTACATGAAACTCAGGTGACCTATAAGGCCCGTGGGCCTCTTGTTAAAAAATGTCACAGTTTTCCACGAAATAAAAATTATTTTGTTGCAAGAGTTATCTTCCTTTGTTTGTCACACTTCGTATGCGAACCAGTTTAATTGTGTCATCATTATGCAATTCATTAATTGTTTTACCGAAAGTTTTAAGTACATGTATATGTACTTAATTGAAAGTGACACATTGGCATTGGAGAAATGGAGAAAGTTTTGGCAGTTATGAGGCAGAAAACGATCCAGAGCCGATGATAAGTACATCGTCCATAACAATGCTAGTTAAAAACTTTGTACAAAATAAGCATACCAGGTATGAAAAAAGAAAAAAACCCAGATGTCCGAAACCATTATTTTAAACAAATCGCATCATGACTATAGCTGAAATATAATAGCAATTTTACGTCCCTATATGAGTGGAAAATTTTTGAATGGGACGTAAAACAGCATACAATCAATCAACAGATTGTATGGTACGTAGTACTTAATGGCAGGTGGTTTTAAATTTCACCAATATTCAAAACAACAATCCTAGGCTGCAAAATGTTCGATTTAGAGACAAATTAATTCATTATGATGAATATAAATTGCTGGAGGGGCAAGTAAAAATTGAAGTAGGGCAAGTGAAATTTGACTATGCACTTGCCCTATTTGTCAGCCCCTGTGAGTTCTGCAAATATTCTTTGTATTTCCGTATGAGTACTGTATATGTTCTAGAAATAATGAAAGCAATCTTTGTTGAAGTGGTAACATGCATTTATAATTATTTGTATTTTTGACTTTTTCCCTATGGGTACACACAAAATTTTTATATGGACACTTCCGTACGAGTATCATTTGATCCATATATTGTTTAACTGGGTCTTAATATTGAGAGGACTCATCGACATAAGTTACAATAACATTAGTCCTGTCTGAAATGAATGTTGCTTTACCCCATTTAAGGATTTTTCAACCAGGTAAAGAAGTCATCCACTTATGGTCAAGTGTTTTTGCATAGTTGCATTAATAACCAACGTCATATGCAGGACGGGACCCTTTTTTTGTAAAAAAAAAGATAATATCCAAAAGACTGATGACATTTACTTTAAATGCTAAAGACATAGGTAGGGAACTGTCACTTAATCTGTGTTAAACAAGTTTGTGACGCTGCACTGAGAAAGAGACTGAATTTAACCTACAGGTTTCAAGAATGTTAAAGAAGCGTCAAACCCTAAGGGTCCATTTTGTACCTGGGATGTTGTAGAACTCTTAAGTCCATATACTTAGTATATACGAAAACTTCAGAATCTGATATGCATAGTTGAAGGAACTGTTAAAATTCTGCTCCATTTTATGTTGTGTCGTAAGACATGGGGGGGGAATCTCAACTTTTATACATGTAAATACATAAAGTTTAGAAGGCATTTTTAACTGAATATATCGTGCAGCACAAGTAATTGAATAAAAGCAAAGCTATTCAACGACGCTATTTCATTTTACTTAGAGATGTATATTTTAATGCAACCGCTCTGAGTTTATATATGTATTGACTATTTACATGTATATGGATAGTCAACATATACTTGCATTGATATTCTTATGCTGTTAATTCTTAATTTTTTTGCAATTGTTGAATTTCCTTTCTTAATTACTACTTCTGTTTTATTTAATCACAATTAAAATCCATTCAGTGCTTTCAGCATAACTTTTAGAGTTCTGAATCAATAGAAACTTAGAAACCTCATTTCTAACATGGTTATTTTATGCGTAAAATAAGTACCACATCTATAGAAATGATATACAATTACAATATAATTATGTTCCCCAAACGAAGTTGGGGAACATATTGTTTTACTCTGTTTCTTATTAAGGTCTTCCGTCTTCAGCGGAAGACCTTATTGTTTTTCTTAGGTTTCTTTTCCACTATTTTTCTTATTATTATTTTTTTTCTTACCGATTTTGTGCACGCGAGTTCTCGGAAACGGCTCAATGGATTTTCATGAAACTTTCAGGTCTGATAGAACATCAAAAAATCTAGAGATAAAATTTTTTATTTTGATGACGTCACTTCCGGTTCGGAGATTTTCGCAATTTTGTCATTTTTAGAGGGTCACTTTGTCCGGCAATGTTCTCAAAAACCGTTGAAGATAGAAGTATGAAATTTTCAGTGATGATAGATCAACCTTTGGAGAAGTGCATTGAGTATATCATTTTCACCGGAAGTAGGTAACGCCGACGCTCGCTATGGCCCGAAAATAGTCCTATCAAGAATTTCAAAATATTTAGCACCTTTTCTACGATAAATTTTTACCTAGAAATATTTTGTTAAAGCATGTAGAACAAAAAAGATGTAGAATATCAAGATCTACCAAATGACATCTCGAAAAAAGGGCTGGCCCCTTAAATTAGGGGCCTGGAGGGGCCGAAAGTTTTTCCTTTATATCTCAAAAAGTTTTGAGAATTTGTGATACGTCAAAGAAACAAAGTTGTTCAAAATGTCATGCTTAATCTATTGGAGTCGTCAAAATACGCCCGTCGTCGTCATTTCCGGCCAAACCGGAAGTAGTCGGAAAACGCGTATTTTTGCCGTTCTTGATAAGTTTTTCGGTAACATATGTCTCTGGGAGCGTTAAAATTAATTTTCCGTCCGTCGTCATCACTTCCGGTCAAACCGGAAGTAGCAGTAAATGGCTTATTTTTGCATTAATTAACATGGATTGGGAGGATTCAAACCATTTTTGGGTGTTATTTCTCATTTTTGTTAAAAATGAAAGCTACTTCCGGTCAAACAGGACGGAAGACCTACTCGTTGCTTTGCAACGAGCTTTGCTCTAGTTATTATTATTTTTCTTCTTCTTCTTCCTGGGTACTTTTTTGTCCGGGAATGATCTTGTAAACTGTTCGTCCGATGTAGGTAAAACCTTTTTAGGGTCAGTAGACATGTTATGTAGATTTGTGGAATCAAGGTCATTTTGCGCGCACGTGCTTGCAAGAGCGTGCACGTGCAACACGTGAAATGACTAATATAATGGATATTGCCGTAACTTTTCTATTTTTCAATGAATTTTTTTGAAACTCATAATGTAAGGATACATTAGAAGTATAGACAAGATAGCATGGTCGAAATAGCAAGATCTCACGCGCATGCACGTGCGCTTTGGTCTGATTGGCTGAAACTAAAGTCTCAATATCTTTCTTGTTTCTCGTCATAATCCTTTGAAATTTTGAACAGAGTCCTACATTATGAAGATCTACAGCATGATATAAAATTTTTCATGAAAGCATGCGCATGTGCGCGTGCTGCAATATGATTGGCTGAAACTTTAAATGGCTATATCTCCTTTGTTTTTAGACGAAATTCTTTGAAATTTAAAACATAGTCATGCATTAGGATATCCTACAATATGATATAGAAAAAAATCATGAAATCACGCGCATGCACGTGTGCTGCAATCTGATTGGCTGAAACTTGAAATGGCTATAACTCCCTTGTTTTTCAACCAAACCGGATGGGATTTAGAACATAGATAGATGTAAGGGACATAGATAGATGTAAGGGACCCCTATAAGAAGGTATGGTCATCATGCACGTGCACGCACGTGCTTGCATTTGGAACGAGTATAATTGAAAATACACTTGAATGAGTGATTTTTTATTACTTTTGGACTGAATGCTTTAATGTATAGTTATTAAAATATGTAGATAGTGTAGACAAGATGATATGTTCATAACGCACATGCATTCATATGCGCTTGGGTGCAATGCTAAAATTTGAATATAATTGGTATTCTTCTGGGCAAACGTAATGCACAGAGTTTGTCTTATTTAATGAAGCTTACAGGGAATATGGCACCAAAATGGAGTTGGGGAGCGTTTGGGGAACATCTGTAACGGTTCCCGTTACAATTAGTACTAGTTATATATGATATAATACTTTTCAATAAATTGCAAATCAAACTTTTTCAGCACCATACAGTGTGAATTTCGTAAGGATTTACGTTCAAAATATGCAAAAATGTGGATGCATCAGAATTCTTGTCATAAAAAATATCTTAAACCTTAAATTTAAACAATCTTCGAATTTATTACTTAGGTCTGATGTATTTCCGACATAAATAAACAATTTTTGATCATTTACATTCAAAAACATGCAAAGAAACTTGATTTAAATAGACCTACCTTCAAATTTTCTTTAACTGACAGCCATTTTTTTATCTCTAAATCACGTGACTTAGATGATCGATGTTGAAAAACAAACATCAAAATCATAAACTAGAATGATTATAGTTATATAAAATCACATTTTAAAGTGATTTTATCGTAGGCTAGAAAATGGCCTTATAGAGAATGAACCTTTATCACAAATTGTTTACATATATTTGATTTTCTTCACTCTACCACCGTCATGCTCAGCCACAAAGAGGTTGTCTCTGGTGTCTACACATAAACCCCATAGTCTCTGTAGACCACATATATCAATGTAGCGGAGGAACTGTCCATCCTGATCTAGGATATGGATACAGTCGTTGTCACGGTCTGCTGTCAGAATCTGACTCTGGCTGTCTGTTGTGATACCGCAGGGATAAAATGATTCCTTTTTAAAGAAAAAATGATAGAATGATCCCATGAAAGTAGAGGGATGACCAATGTATCTAAATCGGAGTTTTCCTGCCTGATTAACCACCACTACTGCACTGGCTTTATAGTCAGCCACACAGATATCCAGGTTCCTGTTCTCACTGATGTATTTAAGGCCGCCAGATGAATACAGAGGTTTACTTTCACTATCAAACTGAATGGTTTGTTTTTCTGTGGAACCAGAGTAACGGACAACTTTTGATTGTTTATTATCATCACTGACCATGATAACCAGGAGGTCACCAGAGGAGGTACTACAAATATAGAGAGGTACCCACCCCTGTAGTCTGATCACTTCCTGTATCTGGTCATTCTTCACTATGTTTACAGTTCTTGTATCACGGTCAGTATAAACTAGATCTCCAGTCCTTGTCACTGCTATGTCACGTGGCACATTCCCTGACTTGCTTTGGATTGACTTCAGTAGTTTAGCCTGGAGGTTGTAGAGTTTCATGATTTTGTCTTTTCCATGTGTCCAGATTTCTTCATCACTGAGACAGGTAACACTGTATACTTTGTCATACCCAGTGTCTATGGTGGTGATGAGCTCTGGTTCATTAAGCAGTGGTTTGACTGGAGGACAGGATACAGCTTCTGGTGTCTTCATTGTGTAGCCATCTTCTTTAGTTGTAATGGATAACGATGATAATGAACCAAATAACTGAGAACATTGATCTCTATTATTATTTTCTGTAAACTCAGGAAACTTAACGATCAGTTTGGATGGTAGTTTGGTGAATTTTTCTGATTTTATTTCATAGGAGAGTGATTTAATTACCTCTTTGGATTGTAAAATGTCTTCAGTTTCTAATATAGACTGTCTGATATCAGCAGCAAGTTTCTTTATATCATTTAGATGTTGATTAAGGGCATCTCTATGTTGGTTTTTCTTATCGTTGATATCTTCCTTGTTTTTCTCTATAACTTTGTCAATTTCTCTGTGCCATTCTTCTCCATGTTTTGTGACCTCTAATGTAAGTTTCTCATATTTTCCGTCTATTTCAGCTAACCGGGTTTCTATGTCAGTAACAATTTCTTCAAATGTTGAGTAAACTGTTTCTTTCAGTCTTTTTCTTTCCTTTTCAATGTTCTCTTTCTTAGAGTTCATGAGATCTTTAAGACTTTTGAAATGATGTCTCTTATGTGTAGGGGATATAACACATTTTGGACATGCTGGAATGTTGCAATCTTCACATAGCATTTCACAGTTCTCTTCAGAATGAGTTTGACAAAGAGGGTACACAAGTTTGGATCTTCTCAAAGCAAGAGGCACCACATCATGTTTTTTAGAGACATCAGAGATGTGTTCCCCAACACAATCCTTACAGAGATTCATAGGACATAAGTTACAGTACATTTGTACAATTTTATCTTTACAGACGGTACATCTAATGATGTCCTGGGCAGAAAGTCTGGGGTCCATTTTATCAGAGTCTTGAAGTTGCTATAAAATTTAATAGTTATCATTATTAATTAATGAAAAAAATACAATTTAAAAAATGCACTGTATAAGATTTGATAAGAACAAAAGATGAACAAAATGTGATTTTACCTGCTATTTCTTTGGTAACTATTTGCTATATGTGACTGTATGTACACGAGGCTATGTCTGCAATAATTTACCTGATCAGTGAAGATAAGATTAGCCATGTGATTTTTATAATTGGGAAAACCATCTTGTACCAAGCTTACATAGACTTTGATATTAAATCGACACGGTTTTACATTTTATCTGTTTATATGTTGTTGAAGTATGTCTTTATCCTAATTTGATAGTATGTATAGGTAAATAATATATTAAGTTCAGTTGTTGACCTGAAGTAACTTTTTTGTAGCATAATGGATTGGCTTTCATGATAGTCTTATATGCATTAAGACAAACATCTTGCTGGTTATTGTATCAGCATGTTGAAAAGATAGTCCAGGAGATTTTTAATTCTCTGTTATTGAAATTGCCAAGACAATTTTTTGTCCCCCGCTTGAAAAGTGGGGGATATTAATTGGGTTTGTCCGTCCGTCTGTCTTTCTGTAACGCTTTCGTTTCCACACGATATCTCGAGAACCCTTTGAGTTTTTGCAATGAAATTTTAGCATAGCAACTCCTTGTGGCCTAAGGAAGACCCCTATTGATTTTGAGGTCAAAAGGTCAAGGTCATAAATAAGCAAATTCTGTCTGTTATAACACTTTTGTTTCCACACGATATCTCTAGAACCATTTGAGCTATTGCAATGAAATTTAAAATAACAACTCCCTGTGGCCTAAGGAAGACCCCTATTGATTTTGAGGTCAAAAGGTCAAAGTTCAAGGTAATAAATTTATAAATTCTGTCTTTGTGTAAAACTATCATTTCCGGGCGATATTTCAAGATGATTTTGAGCTTATTTAATGTAATTTTATTCCAAAACTCCCTAGGACCTCTCTCACCCCTCTCAAAGTGCCCCGCCCTGTTTGTTTTACTAGTATTTATCATATTACCTGTCGCTAATTTTAGCACAGGGACATGCGGAGAGTTATTGCGTACAAAACAGGTTCTCGGCGGACTTTATGTTCTTATTACATCTATTAGAACTGTTTAATAAAGGCTAAATAAATCAAACACCATGGATTGTGTAAAATTTTGACAATAGCGAACATGAATATATACATGTATTTGACTTCACTTCTGCATATACTTAACGTCATTTAAAGCGATTCTGTGGTCTAGTGGTATGTCTCCCGCTTCACATGTGAAAGGTACCGGGATCGACCTCGGGCCATCCCTTTTTTAAACTTTTCTCTTTTTTTAAATGATAGTATTCAGCATGTGAAAAGAAAAAATTATGAGGTTATAAAATCATCATTACAGTGTGATATAATTATTCCATATAAAAAGAATCTTCTATACACATAATAAAGAATAAGCAATCAAATCTTTATACGCATATTGACATACTTGTATTTTATTTGCTTCAGTATACATGTATACATTTTATAATTCTACAAATTCAGTCAGGGGGGATCCGACTTTTTTCCCTAAGCGGGGGACACGAATTCTCTGAATTAGCTTGTTTTCCCAGGATTAATTTTTGAAAAAGATTGTTTTTTAGGATTGAACTTGATTTGATGTGTAACATGGAATCTGCATCTGAACTGTGCATCGATCTGATGTTTTGGAGGTCCAGTGTTTGCTCTGTTCCTATTTCAGATTGTTTTATGGACTTTGATATTAAATACTGTTTGTTATATTGATCCATATCTTTCACTTCTATTATAGCATTTAAAATTTGTTATCTTTATTTATGTTGACTTTGATATTTGCCAAATTGTAAGTGGGATAAATGTATGTTGACATAATCTTTTTCTTTAGCATACACTAGAATAAATAAATTCAACTTTTCTGGTATTTAACATATTACTGCAAAATACAACAACAACAAAAAAAAAGATGCTGAAGCATTGCTCATGATCGTTTTAATTTATCACTTCTCAATATACATATTAATACTGTTAACCATCTTTTATTCGTGTGCAAAATATATTTTGTGAGTTTCACGACCTACTTTCAGTTGTGAACCATTTATTTTGCTTTGTTTTAGAAGAAAACATTTCCTTATTATAAAAAAATAATTGTGCAGTTGCAGATTGATTTCAAACTGAGGAATCGCGAATGAAAGCTAGACGACTCAAAAATAGTCGGTTTACTGTAAATCTGTATAACAAACATTTCTATAGGATTCCTGTATGTGGAATATAGTGTGGATGTTATTGCTCCTCTCAGTGCAGTTTTTTTTATTAGTTAGTTGTGATATGGTATTTTAAATTGAAACATTAGTACTATACTACATGAAAACCATACAATTTTAAAGCAGATAAAGTTATTCCTTCCCAAAGAGACTTTTTATGTAAAGTGAAAATTAATTTTAATAATTTATCTTCTTATTTTTGTTTGACACGTATATGATCCTTGATGATTTTTTTCATTCCCAGTGAAATTGGATAATTAACTTCAACAAAAAAGAGCATAATATTTAACATTGAATTGAAGTTTACAATAAGAACTATAATGGGCATGCTAAATCTGTGTGAAATGAAGTAGTGTCACATATTGAGAGGAAATATGTGATGTAAAAAAGGCTCAAAACTTACCGGCATTACAATTATGCACATGCATATACATGCACTACAATGTTACGGTGCTGATACTTTTATAACAGTTTGGCTGAGCAACTGCAGTATGTAAATACTCATACAACTCGTGCATAAATTGATCAGTTTAAAAAGTCCATACCCACATTATTTGGGAGACTGAACCTTAACAATTTTGAAAATTAATACATATGTATATTGACATTTAAACATTCTTTTCTAATAGCAGGTTATATTATAAATTTTGTTAAAATAAACAAATTCAAAATCAAAAAATAGATTTGTAATTAGTGTATATATATCTTCCCACAAAAATGTAGGATTGCATAGATAGAATTGCGTTTAAAGTCTGACTTTTTAAACTTGCTTGTATTAGATAAAAAAAGGTACAGAGTAAGAGAGAGAGAGAGAGAGAGAGAGAGAGAGAGAGAGAGAGAGATTTCCTGTAAATATATGTAAATAAATGTAAGAATTTATCTGCAGGTTTAGTTTCACTTTCACACACCACGGTCAATAGAATTTGGCTTTACTTACGCTACCGAGTATATATAGATATCATTATCGATATCATAATGTGATCATGGCTTAAAAAGTTTAATTAGAAAACAAATTATCGGTTTCTTGTGTTAGAAATTTATTCAACTGTAAATTCTTTTTGACATGATCTATATTCACTTAATATAGTACTCCAGTACAGAACTGTTTTTGCTGCATGGACATCGTTTTAATACCCCACTTAAGTTGCGTGAGGTATAATGTATGTAAGACTCCAAAGTCCGAAGGTGACGCCAAAGTCCAATGGTCTTGCCAAACCCCAATGGTCTGTGCTTAACCCTGATGGCTCGTTGTCTTTACGGACACCAACGTCCGATGGTCACGCCAAAGTCCGATGGCTCATTTCCTATGAGAAGTGCGACGCTAAAGTACGATGGTCTGACACGCCAAAGTCTGATGGTGGTGAGGAATAATTAATGTTTATGACATCACAATAGTCCGACGTCATGACGTTATTCTGCATTCAAAAGAGCAAGAGCCATCTTATGAATAAAATGGCCCTGTA